TCCAGTGAATAACAATCCTACTGTATTTACGTTTATTTTTAGCCAGCAGTCTAAGATGCGCCTCAACGTCGCCCGCTCTGGCCCCCGGAATGCATGTGACTGTGGACGCTTCGGTCTCTAAATTCACGTGTCTCATAATAGAGCTACCAATAACCAGAGTTGGCTTCTCAGCGGGTGTCTCGCTGAGTGGGGAATATCTGTTAGATACGTGAACTGGTTGGTGGGGAACTGCGGGTTTCGCGTTATGCCCCTTCTGAACAGTCACCCAATCTCCCTGCTGCTCGGGAATTGCCGGGGGACGGCTAAGAGGAGCTACCTTTTGCCGGTCCGCACCGGCTAACATGGGCTTTACTGTAGCTGAGTTATTTTCTAAGATGCGGAGCCGGGCTTCTATGGCTATGATTCCCGCCTCCAACCTAACAACTATACTACATTTAACACATGTATCGGTACCAGTAAAGGAGGTAGGGAAGTAACCAAACATGAGACAGTTAGAGCAGGAAATAGCACCCGAGGGTGGGGAAAGAGCCATGGCTAGCTATCAAGCTAAAGTAGCTACCGTTAGCAAACCCGAAAAGAGTGTAGGCAACTCTGGAGTTACAGTCGCTAAGAGAAGGAGAGTTGTGAGTGCTTAAGCTGTAGTAACGTGTGATTACAACGTCAGGCAGTTGCCGTGATCAAGAGATTTAAAACGATCTATTAAGTTAAGATAATAAGCTATCAGCAACAGAACAGGCACACGGGATACCCGGAAATGACAACAACAACCGGAAGTTACAACATGCTTACCGCAATAGTGGTCCGTGTAGAAACAACGGCTGTCCGATCTTCATCGGCCTTTGTATTGTTTTTCCCTTTTGAAACAGATGTTCAGTTATGTTAAAGTCTTTGATTGCACTTCAAGTCTAAAGTTTACATTTTAATTGTTTGGCACTGACTTTTCCTCATTGATGTTTTATGTTTTACTTACTTATGTTTTACTCTCCTTTTCATGTTTATTGATGTTACATCACTGCTAGTGCTACCTAAAACAGAAAGTGCATTTTTATACTGAGAAACTGTGCCTTGAATATTTTATTTAGCAAGAGAGTGCACTTTACTTGGTGAAGAAACCAGTGTTAACATTTGTTGTGTAGGGTGTTAGGCCTACCTACTTGAACACTGAGGAAGCCATATCAAAATTCCTGTTGAATTGTTCATTCAGGGATTCATTGCAGAATTAAAACCATCTTGAAATGGTATTTTGGTCTGTTACTCCTTTTTATTTTAGTTTTTGCTACCTTGTAGGTGGTTGTACTGTTAAGTAACTTGAAAAGTAACCATAATAACCGACATGAAAAAATATCGTGATAAATATTGTCTATCGTGATACTGCTTGAAAAATATTGTGATATTATATTTTTCAATATCGCCCACCTCTACACTAAACACACAATCACACGTGAAAAGAAATACCTATATGTGCATATAGTGTAAGTGAAACACAGCCTCGGTAGACACCTGCCAGTAGCTGCTGTAGTTGGGTGTTAGGTTTAGGGTTAGGGGAATTGTCTCCTGTGTAGATATGCTGTAAGGCTTAATGGAGAATGGTTTCTTTGTTAAATGCTTAATTCAAAAGGTGACTACTTAGTCCATTATTAAAAATGTTGTCACTGTAATGAGATGACATAAGATGTTGAATGTGTCACAATAACTGCACAGTCAGTAGTCTGTGTGCAGATGAAAGGATTCAGAAGAAAACGTTCAAGGTGGGCAAAACTTTCCTAACGATGACAGTATCAAATACATGATGTGTAAGAACTGCCAAACCTGACACAAGTGCGTAGGGATTGTTTCAAGGACATGGGGGTGTGAGTGAACATTTGGAGCATCAATGTTTACTTTTTGCAACAGTTTATTGTAGAAGTGTATTCAAGTCCCTGCTTATTCAAAACACACATAGGCATGCTTTTTATTACATCAATGATACATCCATTAACTAGTGTAAAAAGCTCTAAACGTTCAAGGGACAATGTGTAAGGTATTCTAGAATCACTTCGACCATTTTCAACAGTTTAGAAGGTTACAGTTTTGAAATTATGTCAAAGACATCAATGTATTGTGTTTCGGAAACATCTACTGAAATTAGCATTCTAGCTGACTAGCCTGATAGAGACTCACTGTAGCACCAATCTGACTTCAAACGTTAAAAGTACGAAAAATGTGAGCAGTTTTCAATCATATTCAAAGTTCATGGTTTGTCTACGATCTTATGGTTTGTTGACCTAAAAAAGTAAAATTAGCATCATCTCCGGAAGGCTGATACACCATCAGTTAGCGGTTAGCTCTGGGATTTGCTCGGAGATATGTTCCCTGGGGAATGACGTAAAATGCTGCCCCTTTTTTGTATTCCTCCTCAAAACTTCTATAAATCTTATCCCACATTTCTTGGTTCTCTGAGATTTTTGAGAATAGAATGATATGGTGGTATTTCACTTAGATAGTGGAAAACGGAAAGACA